AGGATGGGGCGCCAGATGTAGTTTCATAGATTTGAGTATCTGACGTACAGCAGGCCTGCAGGTCAGCACAGTCCCTGGAACAAACGGGATGTGAATGATACAACATAATTCACATTGTCTCCGTGGGCACAAATTGGTGTCCCAGATGGTGATTGGGTAGCCACAGCGTTAGTCGTGCTCACAGAGGTACTTACTTAAAATATGTAAGATCATGGAAGTGATTGTTAACATGTAGTAGATGTAGTTATGTACCTAACGTTTATGTGTCAGTTGGTAACTTGGTTGGGTGTGCGCAACACACACACACACAACCACCACCAAAAAAAAAAAGTTGTGGGTTGGATGGCTAAGGCCCGGGAGGAGAGGTGGAATTGCTAATCTTGAGTGGGTGGGGTCGGCACAAACAGACAAGCAATCTATCGCCGCGGGTGCTGGCTCATGCCAATATTCATGCTTTGGATCAGATCCATTCTCTCCTCCAGGGGCTCTTGTATTGTTCTAGTTGATCTGGTTGCGGATAAATACATGTACATATGCAGCAGTTGTCATTATTGATTCAACCTTGTTGTAAGCATTACAGAAAGATATCTAAAGCAAATTGCATTACATAGTGTGATGGTCACTAAACCAGTTTTCGTGTCTAATTGTTAATTGCATTTGTAAGCATGTAAAGTACACACAGCTTGACCTTTGTTGAACCATGCTTGTCAAACTGAGTCAAGCGAATAAATGCTTGCTGGTTGTACACAGCTCCTTTCTCTCTGCTGCGACTCGTTTCACAAGGAAATGCCTCTTTTGCAAAATTGTGAAAAAGCCAAGGAAATTACAATTACAAGGTGTGTATTTTGTGAAATCTTTGTTTATTCTTTGATGTTCATTCAGTTTATTTTAATTGACTGTCTTCAAAAATAATTACTTACACTATAAATGATCTTCATGTATACAATCTACATGTACATGTACACCACGACTTCTTCCTCCAAATTTCATGCCTTAAGATTTTTACTGGGGCCGATTTCTAATGAGATAAATGTATATGTGCTCTTGCCTTCATGCTACAGCATGACTTTGTATAATGCTGTCTTTTAATTAATTACTGAAACATTGGAAGACTGAATATAGCCTAAATAAATGGAACAACAGATTCACAAATACAGTGCTTATACAGTTCAGTACAGAGCTTATACAGTTCAGCATACAGTGCTTATTAATATACGTTGGGTAAGGGCAAAAGCTGTTATATACATGTATAATTAAAGATTCACAAATGTTGACAAAACCACATGACACACTAACTATTTTGTCCAGTGTTGTCACCTTACTTTCTTAATCAATGTGATTGGGATTGTGCTTTCAAGAAAGGGATATTTTCTCCTTAGGTTACCAATAACCCGTTCAGTATGAATTCTTACTGAGACTAAATTCCTGGTTTTGCTGACTTCTTCCTAAGTCGAGTTTTACTCCTGGTGAAAGATGGGAGTTCTAACTTAGCCTCATAGCTGGTAATGACATCTTCAATGTTAAAACCTCTGTCAACCAGAACTCTGTCAGCTGGCCAAATTTGGTTTAAATACCCACAAATGTTTTGTTACAAACTTATCACTGGTATGACCTCCCCAATCTTTGGAAACACACTGAATGAAACCTTGAGGAGACACTGAGGTTAAATACTTATTTGTATTATGAGATTTGTAATTTGAATAGGTTTGGGCCTTTGCATCCTTATTTGGAGGTTTGTCTAAAAAATTAAAAGTAAAATCAATTAGACACACATTTAGGAAAAGTTTGCTTATAAATCAGAGGCATAATTTGCTGTAGCAGCGGTCTCTCTGCCCAAAATACTGTCAAAGGTACAAATTTCTCATTTAAAGCAGTTATAACCTCTAAATATACTCTCAGAGTATGGTAAAAGAGTTGGTAAAAGCTGCTGAAAGGGAGGCAATGAATAATTTGCATGTGTTTTAAGATTTGGGAAGATAAGATTTAAAATGGCCACAAACAAATTGAAGTGAGGAAGGCCAGTATGTACTCAGAGTTTCTCCTGGTTATTTTGAAACAATTCGGGTCCCAATTCTTAGTGTATTGTTTTGTTTTTTTGGTTTTTTTACGATTGTTGTTTTTCTGTCAGCAACTGTCTGTAGGTACACTGTAGACCTTCAATGTCACTTGCTGTGAGATAAGTCTGTGTTTGTGTGGTTTTCACATGATCATCAGATGCATCTGTGGTTTGAATTGAAGAATTAGGCTCCAGATTGGCCTCACCAGTGCTTGATGCTGCAATTGATCTCCTTACCTGACACAAAAATCACAGGAAAATGAATGCAATCTCAGGTATTTACACTATGATAAAATATAGACTAGTGCAAATTACATGTATACAGACATATTGTTTGGTTAGGTAAGGTTTAATGGCACAATTCAGTAGTCTGGTGCGCTTGTACCATTAACATTAAGGCTGTTTCTCAGTATGGGGTAAGATCAGAGCTCAGTACTGTCAAGCCTGGCACAAGTTGAATGAAAAAGCCTGCATGGGCATACATACATGTAAAACCTCTCTAGAATTTAAAGTTACTCATGTCATGCAAGTACATGTAGTGGGATTCATTTCAAAGTGCAATGCTATTTTAAATGAGGAGACTTCGAGAGTATACTTGGTTCTTTTGCATCCACATTCAGGGAGACAATTTGATAACGTGACCACTTGGCAATATTTGACATATATACTTGCTATAAAAATATTATGCTTGCTTGTACCTCAAGTAATAAGGTCTATGAACCTAACCACATAAAAACAAATTTCTTTTCTGATCAAAAATTGATAGAATATAATAAGATCAACCTCTTGGGGAATAACTTGAAACATGCCTAAAAAAATAGGTTCACACAGCACTTGTAATCAGTTCATATTGTTTAATTTGGCCAACCTGTTCTGATTTTCTACTTTTCATTTCCATCCTAAATTGATATCTTTCCAAGGCTTTCCTCTCATTGAGACAATGGCACATGATCAAACAAACTCGAAATGAAGTCAAGGGACAAGGGGTCATCGCTTTTCTTTCCTAAACCAATACAAAGAAAGACAACATTCAGCAAAAGCTTCTGGAAGCTGAGCTTTCTTTACAGATTCACAAAGTTCTGTTGAAAAACAGATGTTACAATAGTGGGGTATAAAATGCAGCTTTAAAGTTGGGTTCATGGGAAGTTATGAAAAGTTTACGAAGGAATTATGAACACATACGTGTATGTCAGAGACTGATGCTAAGCACTGACAAATTTTATTCCTTTGGGGCAAAAGTTTCCAATGCCATGTTTGCCAAAAACTATAGGATTTCTATTTGCAAGAATTAGGTTCACTGCTCTGGCAACAATACTTGGCTACTTTAGTACTTGTAAGCTTTCCCCATACACACAGAGCTGTAGGCCTAATTGCTGTCTTACAAATCTTTAATAGCTGACACACTCCATGTAATGGCCTACAACTGTTACACATCCTGGGCACACCAGTGAGCTAAAATGAAATAGACATTGAAAAACCAGCAGTGCAAGTGGTGTGCGTTAACCTCTGCCTAGGCGGCAGCTAGCCGACCGGTAGCCTACTGTACTTATATATGTCTTACCAGAAAGGAAGTGTTCACTGCACAGCCGTGACTATGAACTTGGTGTCCAGTCTTTATTCTTTCCCCACTAGCAGGAAAACAGTAAAACGACATGCCCATCTTTCCTGCCCTATGTGAACAATCAAGAGCTACACAGCATGCCATTATTTTTGTTTTTTGAAATTCACTTCAACACAAGTGAGGGCGGAATTGTTGATTTAAGTGCCTGTTGTAGGCCTAGCAACATTAAATGGATAGCGACAAACGAGAAGGTGACCACCAAAACGGCAGAATCAAAATCAACCCGGTGATCTGTGACATGCCCACAAGGTCTATATAGCCAGACAGCGAGTTGAGCCATGGTTGTACGAGGAAACTGCCACAGAACAATGGATGTGCTCTTGTTCGGGCATGACTCAAAAATTGCAATATTTAGAGTTTGAATGGCCCAAAAGGGGTTTTATGTAGGGGACGGAAGCTTTGGTCGTGAGAAGTCAAGTGAAAATCTCCCCATTGAAAAAGTTTGTTTTTTCCCA